GACACAGTACTTAGTTATACACAGCACTTAAGTGATGCTTGCTGAATAAATGCTATTTATGCAAAATTTTGTTTGGTCCAATTTTTAACAAGAGTGAATGACTTGTTTCCTTAATAGATTTTTTCCCTGGTCTCACAGTGAGAGTAGGCACAAATGCACTTTGTATCTTGTCCAAATAACTGTAATCCCCAATTTATGCACCCAGGCAAATCTGAGTTCAAAAGGGTTTGTGACTAACACTGACCTATAGGACTAAAACTGTGCTTCCCTTGTAGGAAAATGTAATAGAATGGATAATAATTTAAAATACATTATTCGAGGAGGAATTAAAACCCATAACAGAATCCATAAAATTCCATGCTCCATCAAGTTTTCTTTTCAATATTAGAATGACCAAATATTCTCTCTCCAATTAATTTTAATAGCAAAACACCCTTTTCTAAAATGACTTAATCATTAATCAAGTAGGAGAGTGAATCCCAGGGAAACCACTGATTCAGTTATAAAATGTGCCTTAAAGCACACTGCATAAATTATAACAATGAAAGAATCTACGTTTCAAAATGCCAAAATAAAAACTTACCCTTAAGTCTTACCCTCAAGGTAAGATGGGAGAGTGGGAAATCCTGTCTGCTCACCAGCATTCAATAGAATGATGCACTGTTAATTTCTAGATTTTGGGATGCATTGATCTAGCAGAGGTGGCTTGTCAAGCCTGAGGTTTTCAACCTGGGTGAAAACCACCACCAGGGTGATGGGCCTGATGCCCACAGCCTGCAGGCCACCATGGTATTCCTGGCACCCTGACAGATCCATCCCACTCTCCCTAACTCAAGTACACACTTCACAATGCAAAAAAGTGAGAAAGACGTTATAGGAATAGACCTGAAACCTGCTCTAAATCTATAGAAAAAGTGCAACACTCACAACACGTACTATTACAAACTATGTGTAAGACCTCTCACAAATGACTAAATGTAGTTGAGAAGTGCAAGGGAACTCCCACCATCAAAGGTTGCTGTAGTGCACCACTGTTGTTTACACTTGTAGATACTCCTCAGGGGAGGTCACATTTTAAGCTGCTAAAAATTTACATGAACTGTTGCTTCTTTTCAGGGATAAGCTGATAACCAGCAAGGAAAAGATAAGAGGCAAGGCACCCCAGAGAGCAGGGAAAGCTCACAGAAGAGGAGGAGGGATGTGAGTGGAGATCAGAGCCCATGAAACTTCACGAACGTCACATGGCTGGCCCTAATAGGGAGTGTGGTGGCCGGGCATGGTGGCTCATGCCTGTAATCCTAGCACTCTGGGAGTCCGAAGCTGTCAGATCATTTCAGCTCAGGAGTTCAAGACCAGCCTGCGCAAGAGCAAGACCCTGTCTCTACTAAAAAAATAAAAAGAAATTAGCTGGACAACTTAAAATATATAGAAAAAAAAATTAGCCGGGCATGGTGGCACATGCCTGTAGTCCCAGCTACTAGGGAGGCTGAGGCAGGAGGATCGCTTGAGCCCAGGAGTTTGAGGTTGCTGTGAGCTAGGCTGACGCCACGGCACTCTAGCCTAGGCAACAGAGTGAGACTCTGTCTCAAAAAAAAAAAAAAGAGAAGGAGCATCTCTTTTTAAAACAAATTCATTCCCTGGAAATTAGGTTGGTTGGTTCCTTAGGACACATATGGTTATATTTAAAGTATTTATCTATTTACTTACTAGTTACTACTAGTCCTAGCTTTCTTGTGAGACATAAACTATATCGGAAGAACAGAAATAATGTGCTCACTGCCACAGACCAGGCTAGTTAAGATAGAAGATAGTTTATAGAATTTTTTTTATTCAAGTGAGTCTCATTTCAATTCAGGTGCTTTAAAGAAGGTTCTGTTCTGTTACTTTGACACAGCACAGAATCTGTAAATAGTTTATTCCAATGAAGTACTCCACCCAAATGAAAGCATAATGTGCAAGTATTTATTTTAATTACTCCTATTCGAAGGTCCTTATTTTTGGAGAACAGCAAGGCATTTCATTATCCACTCTTTCCATTCCTTAAAGGCTTCAACAGGTTTTGGTAAATTCCCCTTAGCCTTACGACTATGTTTTGGAGTTACTCCAGGCGTGTGGGCAGATTCATCGATCCATCTCACTAGTGCCTTGAAAAACAGAAACGATTCATATTTTAATGAACGACAGCAAAATAATTTTAAGCAAGGGAAAAACACTGGCTTCTAGATCAGTTTCTCTAAACCTTGGATTTATATTACCCCATAAAGATGCTGCATTCGATAAAGATGGTTATGAATACGAAACAGCATATGATGTACCCAGTGAAACAGCACGTACCAAATATACATAAACTTTAATTACAAATTATGGTCAAAAGTATGCATAGAAAAAAAGATGATAAAGAAGTACACTAATTCTTACACCTTTTTTTAGGGTGGTAGGATAATTATTTTCTTTTCTCGACCTGTTAAATATTCCATAAGGCCTTCCACTGCACTTTTAATCTGATGTGCATGTATATACATATGTAAGTGTACACACAGGCACAGGTAGACATGTATATGAAGATCTGTGTGTAGACATTTATGTGCAGCCACTGAACAGTCACGCCCACGAGTAGCCACGTGCACGCGTACCGATGTGTTTGTGGGCATGTGTGGGCACGCACACACACATACCGAGATTAGGTAGTTTCCTTATCACTTCTTAAAGAAAATCATCCTCTCCTCCCAATGAACATCATACTTCTGTCCCATATTTGGAAAGATAAATCACATCCACATATTTACAGGGTTTTACAAAATGAACTTTGCCACACATAGCAATATTTATTCTGTTCTGCAAAGTCAAGCTCTCTTGCCCTAAATGGCTAAGAAACAGAGAAACTTCTTCCACTGTGTCTCATTATACTTTAAGTATAAATCACTCAAAGGCAAGTTCAAGTTTTTAAGAAGGGTATTTCTTTGTATGCTTTTTTTTTTTTTTAAACCACAGCTTCCTGCTTATCTTTACACTAATTTCCTTTGATAAATTATAGTTCTCGAGAAGGACCTAATAGAAAATGTCAGTTTGCTACTTAGGTAACCACTTCCCTCCCTTTTAGCACCCCCCCCCATTTACTTTGTATCTTTCTACAATGCTGAAGCCAATAGCACACTGCAACTTTCGTAAGCAGATAGGGCAAAGGTTCAGAGGGCGCCGGTCAGCTTCTTCCAAGTGGTTGGAGCCTTGCATTAGGCACGTGAGCCACTGGCAGTGTCGCAGTCCAAATATGTGTCCGATCTCATGGGCTAAGGTCTGCAAGAAAGTCACGGTGAGGGCGTTATAGCACCACCATCGTCACCACCATCAAGTTACACATCTCTTCTTTTTCTTGCTTTTCCAAGAGACAGTTTTACAGAAATCAACTCCCTTATCACCAAAACTTCACTCTGCCCAGACCTTCAAAGACTTAATAATCCATCATTGTCCCAAAAGTCTTACTGCCTTCCTTACTACACATAAATATTTCCCTTGGACCAGGGTTTCTCAAGCTCAACACCACTGACATGTTGGACAGACAATTCTGTGTTGCTGGGGGACTGTCCTGTATGTTGTAGTCCTATGCACTAGATGCCAGAATTCCCTCCCCAGCTGTAACAATCAAAAATGTCTCCAGACATTGCCAAATGTCTCCTAAATGGCAAAATCACCCCTGGTTGAGAATCCTTGCTCTCAACTAGGGTACTTGTTATAATTCAGATTCTGTAACCTTCTTCCTCTAGAGATGCTGACTCAGGAGGTCTGGGAGGAGGGGTGCTTAATCTGCACGTTAGAGAGCACTTCAGGGGATGCTGATGCAGGGGGCCCACGGAACACACTTTGAAACCGTGATTCTAAGAGGTGTAGGTTTCAAACCCCAACAAATAGTACTGGTGGAAGCAGACCTACTCTAGCTGAAGGAAAAGCCTATGTCTCTGGTTACAGAGAAAGGGGAAAAGGGGGAGATGGGATTTCCAAAGAGCAGGGGAAGGGGAGATGTCAGGAATTGTCGGTAGAACTAGAGTCAAGGGTAGCCTGGCACCCAAGGAAGGAAGGGCCATTATCCTTGAGAGGCCGGAGAGCTGGGGTTCTCCAAAAACCTCGGGAAGGCAGATTTACTTGATGACCACAGCAGCTTGAAAGAGGTTACCTATTCATACCAAAATCCAGGAATCAAACTAATGGTGAAGACATGGGTACAGCCAACGCTGCGTGTCACTAGCAGGACAAAAAACTGGCACCAATATTGTAAATTTCAATATGAAGGTATCCATTTAAATTTTGTTTTTATTGATAATTTCAGTCAAGCACTAGCCACCAAAATTATACAAATACTACAAACTCCTTTATAATAGTACCTTAAGGACTGATAATATACAATTTAGGGAATTTAAATCTTTTATAAAAAATGGCCCGTTAGCATTTTTTAAACAACTCACCTTACAGGATCGAAGCAGCAAAACACTAGTTATTTCAGGAATGTAATAGTTATCAAAAATTGAATAGTCACTTGAAGATGTTTTCTGGAGCTTCTTCAGTTTGCCTTCGTAGTGCAAGCTATAAAAATCACTGCCATACCTGGCAAAGCTGAATATCCCCACACCTACAAAAAGAGGACCAGCAGCAACAGAATGAGAGTAAGATTCCTACAGGAAAGGCCAAAAGGGGCTGCCGGAACATCTGGCCAGTGAGTACACATCTGCATTACTGTGTTCACACTGTCTAACACACTTAAGGTTCATAACACAAAGGACTTTTGCCCCGGATTTCACTTTCAAAACCATCTGCTGCTTCTACCCAATTTGCCCTGCCCTGTAAAACTCAACAGATTAGAGGTCAAATTCTTGAGAAACTGGAAGTTTCAGAGAGCTTTTCCCCACAAAAGAGGTCTTCTTTTTCAAAGAATCAAGTACTCAGTCAAGTACTCCAAAAGGAGCCATGAGAAATAATCACATGAACAGGCAGCCACGAGTTCACTCTTTAACAACAGAATTAAAACAGCTGTTACACATGCACTGGGACGGGCTGCTGGCCTTTCCTCACGCCGTGCTACTGAGGGCAACTGCCCTGCCCACCGCCCCGACGTCCTGGAGACCATGTTTTGGACCAGGCCTTTAGACAGAATAACTTCCTCCCCTCCCCCCACCCCCTTTTTTAAGAACAGCACAGCTCTATTGTGGCTAGTGTCGGGTGACCAGAATGAACACCCTTGAAGCTGACTTCCTGTGTTACATTTAGAGTTATATCAACCATTTCTGCATGCATGGAGAGCACAGTTTGATGCATAAGTCACTCTATAGGGGATTGCTTTATAACTCGACTTGTTTAAATTATCACTTTACTTCATGCCTCCCTTTCAGTTGTTAAAGTAATAATAAATTTTTTTGTAAGGAAAAAAAACTCATAGTAGATTTGCCCAATCCAACTTGATTCAAAAAGAATGTTCCTCACCCTACCCTCAGAAAGTGTAGACTGGTATTTGAAATTTACGGAAAGACAGCATTCTGGAAGTTAAAGAACTAAATCTATTCATGTATCACAAGTGATCCCCCTGTGGCCAATCACGTGTGGGCATATTTCACTACAATAATACCTTAGGCAAGAATATTTCTTTCTTCTAATAATGCTGTAAATAGAAGATTGTTTTCTTTAGTAATAAATCTTTCTCAATTTACAAATGCCAATTTTTGCAAACTTGGAGAAAACAGGATCACTTATGGCAAGATATTGTCTTATTGCACAGCAGATCAATCCTGCTTCTTCACTACGTACATCTCTTCTTTTGTCATGTAATATTTCCTACCAAAAAAGGATTAAAGTAGAAACAGTATGGGGAAATGTTTCCTGACCTCCTTAAATTAGCTAGCAATATCTAGACGAATAAACAAATTGGTTCTAAATTATGTTTAATGTTTTCCTCTCTATTGGGTTAATTAATAAAAGGGGGAACTTCTGATAAAAAGCTAGCAGTGACCCAAGTCTCTAAGAAAGTGGTAGGGTCATCAGAATCGGGGAAGGGGGTGACCACAGGGAACCTTACGTAAATGGAAAACTGAGGATGAAGGAGTAGGTAGGAAGAGGCTCCCATAACCCCACAGTCCTCCCCTCTAGTAGGAAGAACATTTGCCAGAAAAACCCGCACTGCCACACAAATCCTGAGGCTAATGTAACAACCAGACAGGCCACAAACTCTCAGTACAGTCCCTGGTACTTACTCCCCATCCCCAGAACACTAATGAGCCACTTCCCTTAGTTCACTGGCCTTTTCCCTTTCAAGCCTGTCTTAGACCCTGGGGGATGAGGTTAGAGAAATAAGAACAAAAATGGAGGGGTAGGGAGAAGATAAGTAGAGAGATGGAAAAAAGAAGAAAAAAAATAGGTAAAAATATGGCCTCTTTCCGGATCCTATCCCAATAATACCAGGCAGAGTTCTAAATGAGTCAATGTTTATCATATCTCAAATCAAAGATTGAAGCTGACTTTTTAAAAACAAAAACAAAAGACAAGTGTCATAAGACACAGGATAAGAAAGAAACATACACTTATTTAAATCAGTCTATGGCTATTCCATCTATGCAAGATTGCTATGAAAAGTCAAGAGTTGAAAAACAATTAACATGTCGATAGTTCAAACTGTATCTTTAATTTGTTTAATTCACTTTGCTACTGAATCACTGACATTTCCCAGCTGCTGTGCTGAATGCTTACGTGTGTGCCAGGCGTATATATGCACTTTTTACGTATAGGCACTTTTATGTAAATTATCTCAGAACGACTCTGTGAAATAGGTATTATTACCTTCAAGGTCACGTAGGTAGTGAACGGCCAACTGGGGAGGAAACCAGATCATCAGAATCTACCAAGAGCACACTTTCCACCATGGCATCACACATCACTGAAAATACTATACAATTTTAAATATCAAAATTATTATCAGTGGGAATTTTCTCCCTCTTTTAACATCTTCAAACATTCTCAAGTTGAGGAAGTTTCTAAGAACAATGTCAAAAAGGAATACCATCTGTCAAAGAGGCCTGTCCAAAGACAAAATTCCAGGAGTCTCTTGGGTAAAGATCAATCATTGTTATACCCACAACACAGAAGGCATCTTCAGGTTTCTTCTTTTTTAAGTACTTCAAGATGTCCCCTATTTAGGAAAAAGAAATGTAGGCATGTGTATATATTATATACATACAATACCTTTACTCAATTCAAATTGTAAAGGTGTTTAATTCACCTGCATGAATTTGTAGGTTTTGTGTGTTATCATTGACTCTAAAGGAACACCTTGTTGCAGAAACAGGAACTGGTTCTAGGAGTTTTACTGTCAAGCCATAGAAAAAAGCTTCACAGTAGCCCTTAAGCCATTTAATATATTCTTCACTGATAATTCTGGTGTTTCCTAAAGATCCTATAATATGGAAGAAAATTTTAAGACAGAATTTAAGGTGATTAAAATATTCAGTCTTTACCTCAGTCTATAAATTAGAAATTTGAAATTAGGAACAAAACCAACTCTTAATTTTCAATATACTTTTTTCATTCATTGATGTCAATATGAATTAAAAAGAAACAAAATGCTCTCTCTTAAGTCAATTTGGCTACAAAACTTCTACTATTTCAATGCATATCAAAAATGATCATAAAAACTGCCCACCTGAATCAGACCAACAGCCCAAACTATCCTTGACAACAGCACCATTGCAAAACCAAACCCAAACCAGCATATTAGCAATATATACCGATGGACTGTATGTAAATACTGCGCTTCTCTGGAGAGGGTGTCTTTCTGTAAGGATCACTGAAAAACTGTTCAAAGTCTTGGGGAGCCTCAGGATGAGAGGTGATCCAATCTGATTGTGAATGCAAGGTAATGGGTCCAAAGAGACCACTGGTTGGCTGGAAGGCTTCATTCATTAAACGCTGTTCCCCAGCATCTAATTTTTCATACTGGGACACAAGCACTGGGTTCTTTGAGATGAGAGCTGTTTTTAGTGTCTGTTCAGAGTGCCGTATCGTTTGCATCTACCAAAAAAAACACAAGTGGTCAAATATAAAATGCATATCCATATTGGAGACTTTACCTATCCTCCATATACATTTCTGATTTCTCCACAGAATGGAATAACTGATTGCAAATGCCTTAGAATGGTCAACCTTAGAGAGGGTTCCCATTTCCAATCAATTTCTTGGGGAGGGTATCAAAGAAATTGAAAAGAAAATCATGAAATCCATTCCTCCATCTCATATGGAATATACTTCCATCATCAAAACTAGTGGTGGTGACTATAAGAGCATGACCTGATATCCAATTTCCTTCTGTCATTTGGGTTCTAATAACAATATTATGAATTAACTCATTAGAGCCACATGAAAAAATACTCATCCTTTCCAGCGTGACTCAAAAATCTTCAATATCAAACAAAAACAGAACTAACCTAAGTCCTGCCATTTCTGTAATTTAAGTGCAGGCTGACAAGATATATATTTCAGGCACTGAAGTTCACCACCTCAAAGCCATGTCACACTAGGGAAGACATCAAATGACTAATCAAAAGCCAGACTCACAATGACAGATCTCTTCCATTCACATTGTGTTCCTATGCAGAGCTTTCATCCTTCCGTTTGAATGGATCAAAACGATGTTCCACCACGAGGCTTTCTGAATTAGAAAGGGAAAAAATTGAGTATCTGTCTGGCTTATCTGTCATATTTTCTAATTATCTAGATTTTTCCAGTTTAATGATAGACATTTGATGGGAAAATTTAAGCTAATAACTGTTCTGATTGAACCTCTGAATTCTGGGGTTCAAGAGGGTGGCAGAAATTCCAGATCAAAGGTTTCTATACTCAAAGTTCTGATATGAGCATAAGATTATCCTCACTACTGTACAACTGGGCTGAAATTTGACTTCTCCTACAGGACAAAATACAAAGATATACCCTCCTGAATTCTACCTACCTTTATTAAAAAGGAAGGCTCCCATTGAAGTTTTTACCTTACAAGGAGGGGTATGTCTGGGCTTGGCTGGAAAAGTGTGGTGGAGGGTGCCTTCACCCTAATATAAATAAAAAAGGCAGTGTGAAAGGTCAGGAGTCCTCCTCCAGCATCCCAGGTCTATTCTGGGTTGAGCCGCGAGAGAAGACGGGTAACTGGAGGCACAATAGGGTCACTGCAATGGGCTGGAGACCTGAGATGCTTTGGTCCTAAAACCAGAACATCTCGAGCAAACCGGGACGAGTTGGTCACTCCAACTGGTTGCCTATAGCAACTCGCATTTGAAGCTCTCCCCAGTGCAGTCGCGACCCAGTCCCCGGGATAGGGGTGGAGTGGGGGCTCCCCCTCCCCGTGTCCCCGCCTTTTCTCCCCGGGAAGCCTCCTGAGAGGTCCGGCCTGGCTCCCCGGAGACACCCGCCCCCGCAGTCCTCGCTGCTTCCGCCGCGGCCGCCCCTCCCACATCCCCATCCCTTCCCACCGACCGCGACCGTCCCCGCCCCTGCACTCAGGACGCCCTGCCCAGGCGGCCCAGGCCCTGCCTTGACTGTACGACGGCACCACCTTCACCCCGGCAGGCCTCGACACCACTCGCCAGGCTCCCGCGGCCACCCCAGCGCGCGCGAGCCCCACGCCCCGCCCCGCCCCATCGCGCCCCGCCCCGCCCCATCGCGCCCCGCGCCGCTCCGCCGCGCATGCCCCGTGTGCCCGGCTCGGCTCACGACACTCCCGCGCCCCGCCCCGCAGCGCCGGGAGGCCCAGGCGGGCGCGGAGCTCGAGTTTGAGCGGCGTACAGCGACCTTGGTTTTCCAGAACAGAAGGTTACGAGGGGTCGACGAGGCGCCGAAATCAGCCCCCGCCGTCGCCTTCCTCCCGTTCGCCCTCGCGGGGGCGCCGCGGCCCGCTTGTCCAGGGCCCCAGACGCGCCAGCGTCGCCGTGTTTGCCTGTTTGTGAATGTGCTCAGTGGGCCGTGGGTTTGAGGAGCGCCCGCAGCGTGACTAATGTAACCAGCGTGGCCCAAAATAAGTCAGCTTTCGCCGCGGCTTGACGCGGAGCCGGGCGCGCGCTCCCCGTGCCGTCAGCCGGCGGACTTTCCCTTCTTTATGTGGTCAGGACGGGCCGCAGCCCGACCCGCAGGTGCTGCGCCCGCGCTGTCTCGCTGACGCTGGCGAGGCCCACGTGCATGTGGCGGAGAGAGGCTATGAGGCAGGAAGACGCCACCTCTGTGGCTTGGGACAGGCCGTCCAACCTCTCTGGACCTCGCGGTTCTCATCTGGTCCCCTTCTGCCCTGGAAAGTTGAGTGTTTCAAAGCAGAGGGTCCCGTGACATTTGCCTGTACGGCCCCTCATGCATCCCAGCGCTTATCACACCGTAGGACGCGATGGATGGCCAGGCTGGATAATGCCACTGAGTACCTTTAATAAACAGCATCCCCTCCCCCTTTGAAGTTATGGGCCTCCAAGAGGCCTCCAAACAAGCCCATTCCCCACCCCACCACCACGCTCTCCTTCCTATCCAACCCAGTTCATGCTTCCTCAGGCTCTACGCTGTTCCTCCTAGCAGCTTCCTACAAAGGAACCCTGGGGCAGCCCTATTCTGTTATACACCCGTTTCCCCAAAACCCCACCTTTTCTCACTGGTTCTCTTCCAAGACCTCATCTTAAGTGACACCCAACTTCCTTCCCTGGGCGCCACTTCTTACCTCCTAAACATACCTCAAAACTACTCCTAAGCCCCTGTTTTTATTTTCCAGCTACTGTCCTGTCACTACAAAGCAGTGTCCATTCTTCTCAAGTTAGGCCATTTTATTATACCATACTGGGGTTTTTCCTCACCCTAATTCTTCCCATTCTCTAGGAAGGAGACACACACACACACACACACACACACACACACACACACGCATTTTCTTGATAACTTTAACATTTGCCTTATTATCTTCACTCTTAACCCCTTGTTGACTCTCCTTAGAGGACGTTAACTCTGTGTGTTTGATGTTTCCAACTCCAGTGATCACCTCAGCCTCTCCTTACTTGTTCACCCTCCTGGATCTTGAAATTTGTTCTTTGACCACAGTGCTCCTATCCACCCTTACCTGAAACAACTCTTGAATAAAATGCATTCATACCATGGCTGTTCCCAAGAGTTTCAAATTGGGAATACTGACGAGAAGTAATGGGCTTTCTCACATGTGCCTTTTGACTGGGTGCCTATCTCCCGATGGCCTGAGGTCGGTGCAGCACAGGGGTGAAGATGGTCTGTGCTTGAAGCCTAGAACCCGCACTTTATTAGCGTGGGACCTGTGCCAGTTATTTAACCTCTGATTCATCTCTTCCCTAGTTTGTAAAACAGACATGATAGTAGCGCATCTTACAAAATTTTTCAGATGAGTTCCTTTGGATGTTGTGTCTTTTGATTGAATGGCTGTCTTCTGACATCCTGATAGGCTTCTTTAGCTCAGTCACCAGCTCTTCCATAACCTCACCCCCCAGTGACAAAACTCTTCCTCACATGCTCGTTGCCTTGTACATACATAATGATACTGCTATCATTGTCCTATCGCCATGATTATAACCTGTTTCTTGCTTGTAGCCCTTATTCAACTGCGAGATGCTTGTGGTTAAAGACTCTCATGCCAGGTATCTGAAATGTAAAAGGTATCCATTGGAATTTTCGTTCAATTTTTTTGTATTCATTAACAAGAATTCTTCATTTTGCATTTCAGCTTTTTAAATTCATTTCTAGATAATGAGTTTTGTGATTACTGAAAAATTTTAGGATACCACACTTGTGCGTGGTCTCGAAGTAGTATTTATTTTTTATAAAAAGCACCTTAGTGCTTTGGATTTTTTAAGCTTTTTTTTTTTTTTCCTTTGGAAGAAAACGATACTTTCTATTACTAAGATATTTTTGCCTGGTAACTAATATGCAGTTGCAGAATGAACCATAGGATATCTACATTTCTAAGAGCACTGCAAGTTCTAGTTTTTAGAAATGAGTGTATATCCTGGTGGTACAAGGTTAAGAGAGAAAATTTATAGCAAAAGTAGAAGGCTTCAGAGAGCAGGAAAGAAAGGCAACATATATGTCAGATGAAAGATTTAAAAATAGCTTTTACATATAATAGGAAAAATACAAACACCATGACATGAAAATGAGCAAAGAACATAAACAGATAATTCTAATGGTCCATTAACATAGAAGTGCTCAATTTTACTAATAAAGTAAAATGAAAGCCACTGTAATACTTTTTTCTTACCTATCAAATTCCAAAACTGTTTATTTTGAAATAATTGTAAGCTAACAGAAAAGTGGTAAAAATAGTATAAAGAATCCTGGCCAGACACGGTGACTCACACCCATAATCCCAGCACTTTGGGAGGCCGAGGTGGGAGGTGGGATTGCTTGAGGCCTGGAGTTCGAGACCAGCCCGGGCAACATAGCAAGACCTGTCCCCCCTTTACAAATGAACAAACAAAAAAGATTACACTACATAAACATTTCTGTGTCTCACTTTATTTCTCCTTAGCATTTCTCCAGGTCACTATTGTCTTATTTTTGTTTTAATCTTATTTTTGTTTTAAAAAGATGTGCCAGTAAATGATAATAGTAATTACTTATGGATGATGAGATTTTGGGTGGTTTTTATTTCTCTCTCTCTTTTCCTTTGTATTTATTTATTTATTCGCACTTTCCAACTTCCTACAATAAATATGTATTATTTAATACTTTTATAGTCAGAAAGCAATTTGTTTAACACGTCAATAATGTATTTAGGCATTCCTGAATATACAGATAACCTGTGTGTGTAACAGTATCTCCATACTTTCTAGATGGTTCCCTGCTTCCCTTTCTTTCTACCCCTTCAACTATTCCCCAATCCATTTGCTCTACAAAATCTCTGAATTTTACTTACTCCAACATTCCACTAATTAGCAATCATTTAGATTAACAACTAAGCTATCTTCTTCCTAGTTTGTTGATTTTATTTAAAAGTTACTATATATCTGAAAATATTCCAAGTACATGTTTTTAAAAACTAACAAGTACTAAAAGGGTAATGAATGTAATGAAATGAAAGGGTAATGAATGTAATGAAATGAAATACTACTACTACACGGAAGGGTAATGAATGTAATGTAATGAAAAGTAATAGTCTCTGCCCTATTTCCCATCTTTCCAGAGGCTACTGTTCTCAGCAACTTGGTCTTTCCCCTGGTATTTTCTCCATACTTCTAAACAATGTGTGTATAGTGAGATTTCTTTTCTTTTCTTTTCTTTTCTTTTTTTTGAGACAGAATCTTGCTCTGTTGCCCTGGGTAGTGTGCAGTGGTATCATCACATAGCTCACTGCAACCTCATACTCCTGCAATCCTCCTGCCTCAGCCTCCCTAGTAGCTGGGACTACAGGTGTACACCACCATGCCCAGCTATTTTTTTCTATTTTTGGTAGAGATGGGGTCTCTCTCTTACTCAGGCTGGCCTCTAACTCCTGGCCTCAAGTGATCCTCCTGCTTCAGCCTCCCAGAGTGCTAGGTTACAGGCATGAGCCACCCCACCCAGATGAGATTTCTTGATCTTTTAATTGTAGGTAGTATCTATTGATCTGTTGCCATGATAGATGAGGCCTTAACTCTTATATATCATACTCCTACCTCCCATTCCTCTCAAGGTGATTATATCCCAAATTTTGGTTAATCTAATAGTCAGTGTTTACATTATGATAATTACGTATACATTGTTCACTGCAGAGCCAAGGAGTCTCCTATGACCATGGATTCTTTCTTGCAGAGCTCTTCATTTTTGTCTGACATTAATAATCATTTAATTTTGTTATTTGATTTATATCTTTTAAAAAATTATTTAGTAAATAAACACAAAGGAAAAGAGAGAGAGAGAAATATTTAGTATTCATTTGCCTAGATTTTTATGGTTCTCTGATTTTTTTTCTCTTTTTTTGGAGACAGAGTCTTGCTCTGATGCCCAGGCTGGAGTGCAGTGGTGTGATCATAGCTTACAGCAGAGTCAAACTCCTGAGCTCAAGCGATCCTCCTA